TGATTTGCACTTATCCAAGCTCGCACTTACGCCAGTGTGCGATTATGCCAGTTTGCACTTATGCAGGTTTGCTGTTAAGAAATTCACACTTAATCAGTAACCCCCTAAACCAGAACATCAATTTTTACTTTGTAGTTTTAAAGAGGTAAACGTTTTTAAGGTATATACAAAAAATGGGAAGATAAAATGCTTGAGTTATGATATTTATTTGATACTCTTGATGTAACAATAATAAATTCCATTTTTTTAGGATAGGTTTTGTGTGAAACTTGTTGGGATCAATAATACGTAAAGCTTTCTTTTGTACACATTTGAGTTGCATAATTTAAAAATTTCTGGCGTGCTGGTCTTCTCTATAAGCTCTCCTAATATATTGTATCTATTTTTATTTGTATCTAGGGAAGTTTTCAAAATTGAAATAGTTCTTTCAAATCACAGTATTAAAGTCCTCATTCATGAACAACACTCTCCTTCGATTCTAGTAACCTCTGAAAAAACCACATAATTAACAATATCTTGTTTCGCAGCAGTAACGAAATATGGAGATAACTCAAATAGTTAACGAAATTTGGAGATAACTCAATATTTTGTAACAAATATTGCGGTATTTGTAATATTCTGAAGTTGGAAGGCAAAACTTGACAACAGATTTTGATTTGATTACATAAATCAATCACATCAATATCATCTTGCAATGTCATATATAGATTTTTACAATATTTTAGAAGTTTATTTTTACTCATGTTTTTCATATTATCCGAACTATATAAAAAACCATACAATGTTTCATGTTCTTTATAAGGTTTAAATCTTCTCGTGAATGAATTAATCGCATTATCAACAAGGACAAAAAAGTATTGAATTCTAAAACATTCTTTACTCGATGAAAAATTTTTTACAGTTTTTTGAATCTTATATTCAGGGGTGGCTTGCGCTTCTACAGCAATATCCTTAGCTGTTATTATTTAAGTGTTGAATCCCGTTTCACAATATATTTCTAAAATTCTAAAAGTCCTTTTAAATGTGTATTGGATATGTTGATATACAAATTGGAATGTTGAAAAATCTTGCTTATGATATTTACTTCATTCAATATGGCAAACCAAATTACCACACTTAATATAAGTTCAAAAGAACAAAGTTTATTTCCGATTGCTTCAATTTCCAATCTTATTTTTATGTCTCTGGTATTTTCAAGTAGTTTTGGTATTTTCTGGTATTTTCAAGTAGTTTTCAAATTGTGGTATTTTAAATCTTACAGATTTCACCCTTTCCAGACGGCATTCCCATCTTGTTTCAAATATTTAGAAATAAAATGTCTGCAACAATTTTATTTTAGCTTCTGTAGTCCGTTATCGTGTGTATTGCATTGCATCCCTTTTTGCGGCCGAATTAATTGGAACAATTCCATTATCATCATGATTTTTCATAGTTTGATAGTTAAAAACTTTTTCAATTATTTTTGATTATGCTGGAATATACTTATTGACCTGTAATTCTTCATAACGGTTTTATTTCCTTTTTTTATAAACAGGTTTTATTATAGCCAATTTTAATTCTTGTTGGAAACATCCAGTACTTATAGAAATGAGTAAAACCTGATAAACAATGTCTAATTAACTTATTACTTATTAGATCAAAACACAACGACTTTTTGGAGCAGGACTATTAATAATTTGGGTAACTGATTTATTAGATACTAACTTTAAATCCAAGTAACATTTTGAAATCGAGTTCACTTATAGTTTAGGAGGTTAAAGTTGTTTGGTCTTAGCTCAAGTAAAGCATCAGTAAAGTGATCTATAAACAAGATAGCTATTTCCTGTTTCAATTCAATCAAACAAAAAAAAAATTCAAATTTTATTGACTAATTGTCTTTAGTAGATCTATGAAGGGCATAGTTTAGAACAATTTAAGTTTTCTTACTGTCCCCTTTACAGTGTAGCAGCTGTTGCCTAAAGAAATTATTTTTTACCATTAATAGTTTTTTTATATACTTTTTTTTTTTACTAAATAATGGCTTAAATCATTTCTCCCAGTATTAACTTTAGAGCCTAAATTCGTTATAAGCTTTCTTAAATTGAGCAGTTCTTTGGTCATCAATTGGTTTTAAGGTAAAAATTTTAGATTACTTACAACCTTTTTTTCTGGTGTCTAATTCAATCTTAATTTTATTTATAAAAAATTTTTAATTTAGTTCAAGGCTGTTATTTTTGAAGAAATTGTCCATTTTTGATTTTATTTTGTTAATAGATTCTCTCTTTAGTTTACTAAAATTATTCTGTTTTGTTTTCCTATCAAGTAGTCCAATATTGTGAACAATTTGATGATCGTCTTAATCATAAATTATTAAATTATAAAATTTCGATATTAGATTGACACCTACTATTCAAAACATAATCAGGAAATGTACCAGACACTAATCTAGTTGGGACAATAACTATATTAATAAGGCGGTGCTCTTTCAAGTAATTAATATAATTCAGAGAGGTAACTGAATAAAGAAAGTTGATGTTAAAATACCACAAAATATTATGTTGGTTCTATTCCTTATATATCTTATCCATAAATGCATGTTAATATGAAAAAATTTAAAAGCTATAACTTATAAAAACAAATTGCTTACATAATCGGAGCTAAATGAAGACAAATTGTTTTAAATATACATTTAAAAAAACAATTGGGAATTTGTTTGCAAATTCACTGTTTCAAAGGTCGACTTAATTCCTTCAATTCTTAAGTTACTTTAGAACAATCTATTTTTCAAATCTAAAGTTACGTTTTTAATATTGTTAAATTCATCATCAGTTTTATTGCTTATTTTGTAAGTTGTTTTGTAAAGTTTTTATTTTATAGAGGTACTGTATTAACATAAAGTAAACAAAGGATTGTAAAAATCTCAGGTTGCTGTAAAATATAAAATTTTAAAAAATAAGTTGTTAACTTGGGTCAAAAATAGAAAAAAATGATTTTAAACCTATGAAGACGAAAAAAAAAATTAAAATCAATTATAGAAGGACCAGTACCAAATTCAGATTATTTTATTTTTAAATGGTTTTAAATGTACAGAGTAGAAACGCATTAATAACATCATCAATTCTGAAAATAAAACTCAGAGAAATTGCTAAAAAGATTAAAATCAAAGGATTTCCAGTGGATGATGGTTGGCTTAATTGTTAGGAAACAAGTATAATTTTACTTTCAAGACGGTATCTAGAGGACATAACTATTGCACATGACTGCGCTGTGCAATTTGACAACTCTCCTTTTATTTTTACCTAGATATAAGTTATTAGAAAATCACTTATGAATTTTTTTTTCATTTTACAAAGTGTTACATCAATAAAAACTCATCAGAAAAAAAAGACCAGAAATAATATTCACGTAGGAACGTATTTTATAAAATCAACTGTTACTAATAAAAAGCTTTTTATTAGTAACAGTTGATTTATATTGTATCAAAAATAAAGTTCGCAACTGTTTTAGCTTTATTAAAGGTGCAATGAGAGTTTACAATAAAAGTAAATTTATGAAAATTAATAACTTAGTACTTGATGTAAAAGTGCATTAAAGTAAATTTATCTATTGAAGAGTTAAGCGCAAAATCATTTCAACATATTTCAATAATTTTTAATAATAATACTTTCTTTTTTAAATGTTGCTTTTATGGACTAAATGTTGTTTATATAGCTCCTAAGCATTGCGGTTCAGAATCTCAGTTTTAATTCTAAGCATTCTAAGCACTGGTGTTTCATAAATTACAACTTGTCATAAACATAGAACTTTTAAATTAATCGAAATCTTAATGAAAACTTAAATTCCAGGTTACTTTATTTTATACAAACCACAGTTCTGGCCCCATCTTTAACCATCAAATGATTCACAATCTAAAAGTGTTTTTTTCGCTAATGCGATAAGCATTAGCGGAATTGGCTATAAAGATTTAAAACCTTTATAGTAAATTATAGTTAATAATTATAAGTAAAAAAATGTTGACACAAAATTATATAGAATTTCAGAGAGTTTAATAAAAAAATTTGGAGCACAGAAGAGTCATGAAGTATAGAAAAGTGAATTTCATTGAGTTTGATAAATAATTTGGGGCTCAGATGAGCGATGAAGTATAGAGAATTTTCTCACATTACACGCGAGTTTTTAAAAGTAAATGCTTTGTTTTATTAAAGCCAAACGCATAGTTACTATATCAGATCAATATTTCTAATTTTTCTGCAAAATCCAAGTCAGAAGGCTGGGTTTTTAAGATAAAAGAATCACTGTCTTAAATAATAGTAACTATTAATTTGATTACAATTATTTAGTTAAAAAATTAGATAAAAAAAGGTTTTCAAATTTATATTATAATAAATTAGAAAACATAATTGCTCTGTCAAAACTGTTATATCTTTATTAAAAATATTTTAAGAAGAATCCTAGAATTATAAGATATTCTATAAAGTATAAAAAGTATTCTTTAACATAACAGTATGGTACATAATTTAATACCAATATATAACATAATTGATATTTGATATATAGCAAATAAAAAATGGAAGTGTATCCTTCTGATTACAATATATATATATATATATATATATATATATATATATATATATATATATATATATATATATATATATATATATATATTCATATATATATATATATATATATATATATATATATATATATATATATATATATATATATATATATATATATATATATATATATATATATATATATATATATATATATATATATATATATATATATATAATATAATTGATTTTTGATGTAAAGCAAATAAAAAATGGAAGTGTATTCTTCTGATTACAAAAAAGAAAAAAAAAATTAAACACTGTCACAAATTACACCAGATTCAACAAAATAAAATTTTAATTATTCAGCCAGTGTTCATAAACAACACGCATGCGTATTAGTTGCTGGCACAAATCTACATCAGATATTCATGTAACTCATGCAGCAAATCATTATCTCGCTTGATCAAGCATGAGTGGATAATTATACACACTCCTTTGATACCGTTTAGCTGTTTTTTTTTAATTTTATATCATCAAAATAATGGAACCAGTTTTTTAATTATATTTATTTTCACTATTGGTAAGTTAAAATCCATCTTCTTAGTGTTTATGCCCTTTTATTTATATAAAAATATATTTTAAACTTTACTGCTCAAAATTAAAAATGGTTAATTAAAACACTATTATTTAAACAGACTAAAAATTCTAAACAATGTTTTATAATATCTACCTGCTTATAAAAAATGTATAAATATTTTTTAAAACACGTCATTTTTATTAAATGCCAATGGATGCAAATTTATTATATAAAATCTTTTCATCAAGGAAATGAGAGCAACTCTCTCGTTTACACTGTTGTTTCTGTTGGTATCAACGTGCTTTGTTCTAGGTAAGTAAAGATAATTTGTTTGTTTTATACTTAGTAATAGCATATAATAATACAATATAATATTACATTAATATCTAAAACAATACTTAAAATCACCTCTTTTAAGTCTATATGAAGCTTTAGCTGATATTATTTATTTAGCAATATTGTATCTTTTTAGGATTTATAAAATATTTTAGGATATATAAATCACATCTTTAATAAAGTTGTTATTGGTTATGGCTTTACTTCTAATAAATTTTATTTCCAAATATTTACAAAAATTATTAAATATATTATAATACTCATTTTTTATTTTAGGCAATCCAAAAAAAAAAAACAATAAGTTGAAGTTAAAAGTTGGAAAAGAAGCAAAATCTCCAGCTTTTTCAGAAGCTGAAGGAAAAAAAGAAGCAAAAAAACGTCCAACAACCGATGTTGATCCCAAAGTTGCTGAACGTAATGAGACTGTTGACAAGCAAACGCATCAACCAAATAGTAAGATTTCCTTAAAATTTTACAAATATAAACTCTTTTTACACATTAGTTTTCAAAAATATTCAAATATTGATTTAAGCGGTTAAAATGATAAACGGAAAAAAGTTATTTAATGCAAAAAGTAGTTTGATTTGGATTCTTCCCTGAGGTAAGGGTTATTCCCGAAGGTTTAAGTTCTTCTCGAAGATTTGGCTTTGGATTCTTCCCAAAGCAAACTGCTGTAGTAATACTGTAGAAATTGATTTTAAAATTGTCTGATAATTGAATAGGCAAGTAATGTAAAAGGTTGTTTCACTTTTTACATCATCGTTGTGCGTTACATTTTCTAACTCATTTAATTATTCTAAGTCTTATCTAAATGAAATAATTACTTCTTTAAAACTTAAGTAACAAGAGCTGTAGTCTGGAGAAAGTTGAAATAAATACATCATGGTTTATAAATCGGAAACAAGTAGTAAGGCGAGACAGGTACAAATAAATCCACATGCGAGTACAAATAAATATTTACTGCAGATTATTTAAGAATGCTATATGAGGTCATTAAAAATGTATAAAATTTATTTTTGTATATTTATATGTAATTAAATTTTTTAAAATAAATTTGCAAATAAATTTTAAAATAAATGCAATTTTAACTTTTTTGATATCAATTATGATAATCTTACCTCCACACCCCCACCTCCCATAACAGTTTCATAAACAGTTAACGGAGTTAAGGTTTTTTTTTCCAAAAACCCAAAATTTTTTTTTGGGTCTTTGGAAAAAAAACCTTAACTCCGGCACACAGCGCTATGTTGGTAATAAGTTCATATAAGTTAGAAGAAAGGCGCCTATGATGGTATAGCGCCTATGATGGCATACCGGTCATTTTTTCGTAAATATTGATTATGGTGAAAAAGTGATTAGACCAACATGTCTATACTGACTTTACATTAGTTTTAGTAAAAATACGCCCCTTATGCATAAATATTGCTTTTGTAATCAAGAAAAATCGATTTTGTGATGTGCTGTTGTATTTTTAATCCGTTTAAATATTTAAGATTGTGATTTTATTATTAAATGAAATTTTCATGCATTTTATTTCCAAGTTTTGTGCATTTAGTGGAATACTTATTTTAATTTTATCTTTTAAAGAAGACAGACATAGCTTGTTTAAATGAAAATGATGATTTCTTCCTATGAAGGCATACAGACAAGTTAGGTGTGTTGCAATATTGACGAGTTGAGAAAACCTTTTTTTTTCATAAAAACAACGTATTTGTTAGCAAAGTAAAAAGGAATTTTTACTTCACTAAAAAATTTTTGTTTCAAAAAACACATAAAACGCAATATCTCTCATGCGCATGCATGAAATTCTACACTGCTGCTGTGTAGCACGAAAGGGTTAGTTAGGATTTTACACGTATTTTCTGGCATTTCTGACGGAAGACTCTAAGGTCAAATCAAATTGTCAAGTTACCCTTGATGCTAATCAGCCCCATCCTCCCTTATGCCATCATAGGAGCAGTAGTTGCCTATGATGGCATATTGGTGCTTTTTTTTTTTTTTTTTTTTTTTAATAAAAGCAACTAATAAAAAATAAAGCTGATAAAAATTGCTAGGGTTATTATTGTTCTACATGTAACAAAGAATGTATACATATCAAAACTTTTGTTCTTGGTCTTTAGGATACTTAATAATGAAGCTTCAAAGTTAAGTATGCCATCATAGGCGCTTTTCCCTCGTGGTAAATGGCCGTCATTTATTTACCAACTACAAGTTTACTTGTAGTATGTTTATTTTTACCAACTAGAGAAAACTTGTAGTAAGCTGGCGTCAGGAGATTGCTACAAGTTGTCGTAGCAAGCTGGCGTCAGGAGATTGCTACAAGTTGTCGTAGCAAGCTGGCGTCAGGAGATTGCTACAAGTTGTCTTTGACTCTGTTTAACAAGTCGTAGTTCTGCTAACTTATTTCAAATAACATTTGAACTGGATGGAAAAATGTTTACTCATATAAATTCTTTTGTTTTAAATTCTCAATTGATTTTTAGAATTAAATACATTAAAACTTTTACTTTAAAAACCCCGGGAATCTAATGCAGACAAAGATAATTAAAAAAAAAACAGATAAAAGTAAAGTATGTTTATTGTTGGAATTTCCTTTTTTGAAAAGTATATTGTATACTTGTTTTTTTGAATTATATATTTTGAAATATTCGCTAACGCATAAAAAAAGTCTTCCTTCACAAATAGCGCATTCATATCTTATTTCTTTAAGTTTTATTTTAGTGCAAATTTAACATGGTTTTTAAGCAACTTTTTCTTTTTATTGGGTGGTAATGAAGATAAGTAACAGAGGTTACTGTTGCTAATTTGAGGAGCAATTTCATTTAAGCGTGTGCCCAATAACAAAGCATAGAAATTGTTGCATTTACTCCATATTTGCTGCTAAGGCTGTGAGCATAAAACAAAATATATCAAAGAGATGAAGAGCTACGTTTTTATTATATCTAATTGTATTTCTTGGGCAGTCATATATGATACCATTCTGTCAGTCTGATCTACCACTGACATGCCATGGTTGTATTATCGAACAATGTTGAGCTTTGTTTTCTTCTCACATCTTCTTTTCGTCACTTCAACCATCTTTAACGATTGCACGTTTCTGATCATTAGCACTTCTAATTTATTTTTTCATTTAGTAACAAATGCATTTTTCTTGCTTCAGCCTGTAGCTTTTACATTAAATTGTAATGTAAAAACTTATAACCACTACATCCAGGGCCGTCCCAAAAGGGGGTGTTTAGCCCCCTTACGAATTTTAATAATCGGCAAATTTGACACTGGAGTCAGAAAAATTGGATATATAGTTGGCAGTCGCCAAATGTCGGAAAACTAGGACCTTTTTTTTTTTTTAGATAAGTTAGGAGACAGACACGTCACCCCCAACTTTTTACAACCTCTTCAAGGCAACCCTTATTACATCTCCTTGTTTTAGTTTAGCTTTTACATTATATTTTTGTCCAATATATTATTCAAGTGATATAGAAAATCAACAGTACAAACATCCACTACCTTAATCTTCATTGTCAACAAACTGCCAGAACCTTAACATTCGATGTAATTTATTTAGTGATATTATACCATAAAAAAAGGGAAATCTATTGAGATAATTCCTCCAATAGTGTTCAAGTGATGGAAATTTAATACACCTAATATGAAAAATAATTCAAAGAATTTGAGAGATACCTTTCGTGTATCAGTTTTCATTTTTTAAAACGAGAGCTTTTTTTTTGAAACGCTCTCGTTTTAAAACGCTGCTTATTAATTTCTTGGACGCTGCTTATTAATTTCTTGGATTGCAAAGCAATTAGTTTCAAATGCCGTATAATAATTAACAATTTCGTCTTTAACAAATAGTCTAAAATTGTTTATTTGGTTCCCATGTTAATCTTTAAATCAGGTATGGCAGCAAATTGAATTCGTTATAATTGCCGTATAATAATTAACAATTTCGTCTTTAACAAATAGTCTAAAAGTGTTTATTTGGTTCCCATGTTAATCTTTAAATCAGGTATGGCAGCAAATTGAATTCGTTTTACCATAAATGACTAAACTTTCTATTGATTTGAATTTCTGGATAGATTTATTTCAGAATCTTTTACCCAAGAAGTTCTTACATGATCTATTTTTTCATAGTCTATAAGCAAGACCAACCCTTACTTTAGCTCTTTTTGGCGGTATTACAAAATCTTAAGCAGTGGCTGCTAAATGACCGTGGCGCAGTGGTTACAACGTTTGCTTTAAGCTTGATTTCCAACAGTTGTAGAAATGTCGTACAACAGTTGTACAACAATAATGCTTTATAATGGAAACATTTTCTTGCGTAAATTGCACAACTTAACGTTGGTTGTACAACAAAATTTATGTTGTAAAACAAAGGTTGCGGAGATTTATTTCGGCAAGTATTGGAAACCAAGCTTTATAAGCAGGAGATCCAGGTTTGAAACGAGCTCTGGACATATTTTTGCGTCACGGTAAGGAAGGAGGCGTGAACTTCCTGGTTAAATGCACTTCCGAGGTGCTCTGTGACAAGACCATTAGGTGTTTTTGGGACACCTAAATAAATTAAAAAAAGAATGTCTGTGAACTTTTCTAAATTGTCTCCGACCCGCCGACGGGGCATTTATTCTAGAAGAAGTTCCGTGTAGTCCGCCTTGAATGAGATAAAAAACCGGTAAATAAACAGTAAATAAACGTGTATTAAGCACTTTACACCTACTGTGTATTAAGCACTTTAGAGTATTTTAGACAATTTATTATTCTGTTGTTTAAAGTTTATCTAAGTATTTTCGAAAATGACTATAAAATCAACAGTAAATTACTTCAATTTTTTTTAGTTTACCTAGTATTTATGCCCCAAAATAATCCAGGTTCGCATTAAAAAATGCACACGGGGCTAGTGGCCCACTAGCCCACAGTATACTAGTGACCGGTATACTGTGTCGCTGTGTCATAATATACCAGTAACTGGTATACTGTGACACACTGCTACTACATTCATATCATATTGTGAACCAAAAATAAACTTAAACTTGGGCTTTTTCAATTGAATAAAGTCTAAATTTAAGTTTTTTGTGTAATTAAAAGCGTGTGAATAAATGTTTTTCAAAAATTCTATAATCTAAAATTAAAAAGTTTAACACCTTACCATATAATCCATATATCATATATGATATATGGATAAATAAATTTCTACAAAAAACTTTTTTCTTATTCTAGGAACACTAGAAAGTGGAAGACCACCAAGATATCCTTTAAAACCTTTCTCAGCTGAAGTAACTGCACACCAAGGTAAACAATTGTCTTCTGTAGTTATATGTTTTTTTAAAAAATTTACATCAATCTTAAAACTATGAGGTCAATATTAATTATTAATTTGTTCTTAACAGATGAAATTGGTGGCTGTAAAGATCATTCTGCTGCAAAACATATTTGTACACGATGTGCTGATAAATGTTTCGCTCCAGAGCATGAAGTATTTGCATATTCATATTGCAGAAAATCATGTGGTCTTTGTGATATTAAAACTAGCCGTAAGAAAAATAATGTTACTACTTATTTTAAACAATAGTTATGTAATTATTAAATAGTTTTTTAAAAGTTGAATAAATGATAAATAATAAATAATTAATAAACAAATATATTATATTTGCTTGATTTTTTTTTGTTTGCTTAATATTTAGTTATGTTTTTCCATGTTGTAAACAATATAAATAATAATAATAATAAAAAAAAAAATTGTTTACTATTTCAAAAACTATTTATACTTTTTAATAATATTAAGAATTTCATACATATTGGCGCTTACGTGCTGGTTCACAATTTGATCCAACATGGATGTTAACAAAAGTAGAATGGTATGCAAATGCAAATCAAAACATTTCACTTGTAGATAACAGTTCTCGTGCATATGCAAGTAGTTCATTTCCAGGTAAATTTTTTTTTTATTTTCAGTTTAACATATGTTTTAATTTACAATTGTTTAGCATGGTAATATATGTTAATTTTCATTACTAGGATTTGATGCTCATTATGCTATGGAAGATAATCTAAACACTTCATGGTATCCAAGTGGATGGGGTGTGCATGATAACAATGACGATTGGATTGCCTATGAATTTAAAGTTGCTGTTAGAATCCAAGCTGTTAGAATGGTTTTGTCAAGTGCCACCTATGCTCCAAAAAAAATATTTGTTGAAGCAGCTGATAACAAGTTTGGACCATTCCAAACTAAATGGATGATACGAAATCCAAATTCTATTCTTGATCAAGTTTACCAATATCAACGTAACTTTTGTATATTTTCTGTCGTTTTTTTGTTTTTATTTTTGCTTCCATTAAATGAAGTATTTTTATTTCTACAAGTAATTTTGTGTACATAGTCAATATTACTTTTATTTTATAGTTTTTATACTTTTTTAAAAACAATATGATGTATTAATTTAGAATGCCCAGTGCTATGGAAAAAGTTAGAAACTGATAATGGAGTTTGGTGCTATAGAGTTATTTCAAAACTTAGAACCTGGAAAGAGGCTGAAAAAACATGTGAATTAGAGGGTGGTAAATTGGCCAGCATTATTTCTGATGATGAAAGAAATTTTATTGCAAACGTTATTCGACCATGTGGGTAAGAAAATATATTAAAGATTTATTTTTTGACGCAACTTTTTATACTCTTTTCTTTGTTTACATTTTTTTTTTAAAACTTCACAACTTAAGTTATTCCTTTTTTTAAACCTCAGTAATAATAATTTCATTATGTTCATATAGTGCTAATCTTTTTTTAAATTCATTTTTAAATGAATCTTAATTCTGCTTTATTTTATTAATAGTTTTACTTGGATTGGATTAAGTCAAACTAATCATGCTTATTTATGGTCAGACAATCTAGATGGTTCTAAAAATTGTCCAGCAAGAGCAGACTATAGAAATTGGAAGAAAGGAATGACTTATAGTGATGTTCAAAAAGATTTATTAAACTGTGTTGCCATTGATGAAGAAGGAAACTGGCTTAGTTTTCACTGCAGCAATAAATTTTATTTTCTGTGCAAACAAGAATTGAGTAAGTATACATTTTTGCATGTGTGTATCTGTGTGTGTGTGTGTGTGTGTGTGTGTGTGTTTATGTGTGTGTGTGTGTGTATATCTATATATAAAAATTAATAGAAAGCTATTAATTTTTATATTTCAACTTCATAAAGACTCTTCAGAAAAAATTTAAAAAGCTTCACACTTTAAACTATTTTTTTTTATTGAAACACAGTGAAAAATAAGAAAAATTGTGATTTTTTACTTGTTTATTATTACTCTGCTCTTTTAAGAATAATAAGCGCTCTATTTTGTAGAATACATTTAAAATTATTTGTGTATTATATATATATATATATATATATATATATATATATATATATATATATATATATATATATATATATATAATACACAATATGTACATATATAATAAAATAGCCATATATTCTTTTTCATTTCAGAGCCTCGTGTAGATCCTCGCCCAGATTTAGTTGTACAGAATAACCCTACAGAACCAGAGATACCTCCACTTATATTTATTTATCCAAATATCACTGTTCCAGGTATACTTTTTCAGATAATAAATAATATAATAGGAAATAATCACAGTGATTAAAAAAGTAATATGTTTTTTTAAGTGGTGAACACTCTGAAATTGGAGCCTGGAGTTTTCCCAGATGAAAATGGAAATGTTGAGGTAGAAGAAGAAGAAGCTGCAGATGTTAATGAATTATTATATGATCAAACAGTGGCTCACCTTAAGCAAGAAGGGATTGAACCATGGGAAGCTCTTGCTGTAAGATCTCATTTTTTTAAATTTAGTAGTTGTTTTAATTTTCTTTTATTGAAAACTTTTTGAAAATATTTACAAACAGTATCATATTTTGAATAGAACGATCCAAGAATCGATGAAGCACAGTACATGTTAGAGCTAAATCGTCTAGCTATTAATGCTGCGTTGAATAACAGTGACTCTTACAAAAATGAAACATATGCTGATAATACAAAGGAAGGATCACCTGAAGCTCTAAAGATTCAACAAAAAATTGAACATAAGCAAGAGTACCAAGAAACAACAGATCAAAATCAAGCTGCATCTCAAGGTTTTGAAAACTTTAATGTTCAGGTTTGTAATTTATTAATGCTAATGTTATCATTATTTTTTTTGTGTGCATTATTTTAGAAATTTGAGCTTATCTTTCTTTTATTATTTCTATTTTTTTTTATTTCATAGTCAAGCAAAGCTCTCCCTGTTGTTGGTCCACCAATTAGTGCTCCTGTTGGAACAAATGGAATGGGAAGTATGCCAAATATTATTGGTGGAAAACCAGTCTATGAACCAGCTCAACCATCCAGCAATGAAAATCTTTCTCAAAATGCTGGTCCAGTAGCAGCAAGTATGAACAAACCATCTCAGTCTAACATACCTGCTTTACCTTCAACTGTATCTCAAAACGAAATTCACAGCAATAACAACCAAACTCCTGGATCATTACCTCCAAGTGCAGACAATCAGCCAACAAAGCCTGTTCAAACTTTGCCACAAACAAACCCATCTCCACCTCCTATCCAACCAGTTCCAAGCATTAACTTGCCACCAACATTACCACAACAACTACCAAATCAATACCCAACTCAACCTGTTCAATCTCCAACAGTACAAGCTGGAGAAAAACCTAAAGAACCCTCAACTCAGTCTTCTAATAATAACAGCAAGCAATCTAGTCAGCCATCAGAACAAAATAAAACTAATGAGCAAAGTTCTTCTGATAAAGATAGCTCTGAAAAAGAAGAAGAAGAAAGTGAAGAAAGTGAGAGCGATGAAGAGAACACTGATGACAAAGACAACTCAGATGAAGAAGCCCCTAAACCTAATCAAAGCCAACCTCAGCAAGCTACAACTTCAAATGCCCCACAACCTAGCATAAACCAACCTCATCAGGCCACTGGTGGATGGAATAGTCCTCAGTCACCTGCAGGAATGGGTGCAAGTCCAAATATGATCTCTTCACCACCTTCACCACCAGCACCTAAAGAAGGAGACAATGATGATGACTCAGAGCCTAGCATTGGTTCCCCATCAGATGTTAAAGGTTTTTATTTTTTATTGGACTGTATATGTTTAATATTTATTTATTCATTCAATGCATTTATATATTATATATAAATGGATTGAATGAATAAATAATAAATAAGACGTTCATCTCAATATTTAATGGTAAACCTCAACAACTAAACATTTAATAGGCAACAAAAAAAGCCTTTACCTTTCGTAATTTACCGCAAGCATTCTTAGGTTAACCTACCCAATTTCAAAACCTTTTGTTTTGTTATTTCAATAAAAATAAAAATGACAGAAGAAGTGTGTTAATTATATTCTAAATTAAATAATTAAAATAAAAATGGAATAAATATTGCAACGTTTAATTAGAAATAATGCAACAATTGTTTTTTAAATTTTTAAGCTAATCCAACATTTAAATAAAGGAAAGTCAGCAAACTTGACATTCATTTTTATATTTTGACTATTTAGGGAGGCTCTATATTTTAGTATGACATCTGATTGCTTAGCTAAATATCCAATACTACTTGTGTGTTCAAAGTTAAAAAGTTATGAAAGCAACTGTGATCTTTTTCAATGAAATAAAAAAATTTTTCTTTAAAAAAAAACTATTTTTTTAAAGCGAGATTGATGTGATTTTTTTTTTTAAGAACAAGTGATTAAAAGAATAACAATAGTATAAATAAATAAAATATTTTAAGCAGTATACATAAAGTATAATAAATGTTAAATTAACTAGAAAATTTTTTTGAATGTTTTTCATTAGAAAATGTTTCGATTAATTAAAAACTTTATAACTAATCATGCTTACTTGGTGCATCATTTGCTGCAATATGCACCACACAATAAAAAATCAAAATTAAATTTACAAAGAAATATATTTCTGATAGTAAAGCAATTTTATAAAATCAACTCAATTTTAATATCTATGGATATTTAAAATATAAATATCTTTATGAAGGGTATTCATATTTTACAATTTATACCTAAAATAAAAAAGTTATTTAAATTAAAATTATTAATTAGATTAAATAAAATTAAATTGAAAGTTATTATTTAATTAAGTTAAAGTTTAATATATACAAAATAATTTTAATAGTAAAATGTTCCAATGTTTAAATCTTCTTTTTTGAATAAAACATGCTATTAAGAAATCGTAAAACTTTTTAGTACATTTTTAACAACCCTAATTTTAACTTTGAAATTAACTGTTCTAATACATTTTTAAGGTTATATGCCTACCTTGGCAGGTATGAGGGAGGGAAAGTTACCCAAAAATGTACAAGTTTGTGCAAAGGAGGAGGGGCTTTAAGACAGTAAATATGTACGCATTTTTCTCTTGCTCTTTATCTCTCAATAAAACTTGATTTCTTTTTTTTTTAACAAAAACATTGAATTTAAGAAATTAATATTATGTTATGTAAGAGTGGTATGTTGAAATTACTAAAAAAAAAATTATGTTTTGAGAATTTCATCTATTAGGGAAAAGGGGTTGATTTTGTAATAAATAATGTGTATAATGAGGGGTTTGTTAAGTGCATACAGGTGCGTACAAGGGAGAAATGGGTCCTAAATCAGTGGTTTTACTGAGGACATGTTTTATGGCTGTCCTCTTATGCAATTTCTAAAATGGAAAATTTTTTACCTTTTTTTATAAATTGTCTAAAATTGAATATTTGAAATATTTATATTGGATCTAGCAATTTAAAGAAAAAAAAATTTAGTGTCTCAAATTCCATAAATAATGTTCTGAATTCTCCATAAATTAAAATTTAAATTTAAATCTTAGTTAACAAAAAGAAAAAGAAAAAGAAGCCAACAAAGCCAGGTGGTGATGTCAATGGAGAAGATGGTCGATTAAACCAACAAACAGTTAAAAAACCAATTGACTTAAAACAAGAGAAAGATGAAGAATCAGAAACAGTGGATGAATCTGATACTACTATTGGTGGAATCAACAAGAATAAAAAGGCAAAACCAGGAAGTGGTAGAAAAAAAAGCAAAGGTAGGATAACTTTTTACAATATGTTGCACTAAAAATTTGTTACTTAGAATTAAAATGACTCAAAAGTATGACTTAAACTTAGAAAAAGATTAAAAAACCTAAAATATGTCATAAAAACTATATGACTTAAATATGTGATTCAAGTACTAAAGTGAGAAAATAGTAACTTAATAGTAAAGTGAGAAAATGTTTCTACTTTTACTTTTCTTAATCATATACTCTTGTTTCTGTTGGCTTACACTTTTTCTACTTACCAACCTTTTTTACGATCTAAAACACCAATTTCATATATTTCAAGAGCGTCTAATAGCTCTTTTGTTTATATATATATAATATATATATATATATATATATATATATATATATATATATATATATATATATATATATATATATATATATACATATATATATATATATATATATATATATATATATATATATATATATATATATATATATATATAAAATAATATATATATATAAAATAATATATATATATATATATATATATATATATAAATATATATATATATATGTATATGTATATTATATATATATATATATATATATATATATATATATATATATATATATATAAATATATATATATGTATATGTATATGTATATATATATATATAATATATATATATATATATATATATATATATATATATATATATATATATATATATATATATATATATATATATATATATATATATAGTATATATAAGCCAATAGAAAATATATACATATGTATGAATCGCTAACTTGAAAAAGGGGACATGTTATGTGAATTTTTGCCGGGCATGTCCCCTTTTTCATATAATATATAATATATATATAATGTATAATATATATAATATATATATATATATAATATATATATATATATATATATATTTATATATATATATATATATATATATATATATATATATACATACATATATATATATATATATATATATATATATATATATATATATATATATATATATATATATATATATATATATATATATATATACATATGATAAAAAAAGGATTTTTTTGTAATTATCTTCAATTTTAAAACCTTATTTAATAATTGCAAGTTAAAAAAGTATATGTAAAATATACAATAATCAGGGACGCGAAGTCTTAAAAAGGGCTCTGGATTTGAAATTCACAAAAAGGTTACTTTCTCCTAGTTTTTGGTATTCAGGAGCTCTTAAAATATGAAAAGCTTATGGCCGACTAATGGCGGAAAAATTTAGAATTTTAGGTTGAAGGAACAATCAATTTTTGAACTGGGAGTACTTAGGTTTAATGGCAGCAAGGACTCGGGTACTCTAGGCCTAAAAACAGTAAGTTTCAAGTCATTTCAATAAGTTTCAAATCATGAATTTTTTATCAGGTGGACACGGAAAAATCTGATGTGCGTAAAAAAGTTATGAGTTTTTTTTGCAAAAATCAATCGACTTCATATTGCTTGATTGCTAAACGAACAAATGTCCCATAATTTACAGTCATAGATAATATAAATAAGTTCATGACTACTCAAAGCTTCAAAAGAAAATCTGGAAATGAAAAAAAAGAAACTTTCCATAAATCCAAGAAGGTAAAGTTGATTTTACGTTCAATACCAAGAAATTCAAACCAGTCACAGCGAGATCAAGCAAGAAAATTGGCTTCATGTTCATTTTTTAAAAAAGTACTTAAAAATGCTAAAATTAAAGCATTTTATAAGAAAAATACACCTTAGAGAAGTTTAAATGGTGAAGTTAAGAAATTCGACGCACAAAGATGTTGGTTAAATTAATGGCGGATGAAAGTATGTGCATAATTGAAGACAATGAAACATATTGCAAAGCGGATTTTTCACAACATCCAAGTCAACAATTTTTCTATGAGAACAAAGATAAACCCGTTGATGATCAATTTAAATATATTCGACGATAAAAACTTGCACCCAAGTTCCTTGTGTGGCAAATAGTTTATAGCTGTGGTATGCAGTCCTCTTATTTTGTCACTAAGAAGACCTTAAATGCCAATCTCTACATCAAAGAATGTCTCCAAAAAAGACTTTTGCCATTTATGAAAAAACACAAATATCGATATCTCTTTTGACCAGATCTTGCTGCTTCTCACTATTTAAAAAAAAGTTCTACATGGGTGCAAAGATAATAATGTGAAAAATGTTCCTAAAAATCCAAATCCTCCAAATCGTTCTGAAGAGCGCAAGATTGAAGGTTATTGGGCAATATTTAAAGAAGTTCTTCGTAAGACAGGTGGAGTAACAAAAAATAAGAAGGACTTCCAAAAAAAGTGAATTAATTTCACCAATAAGGTGAAAAAAGAAAAAATCTGCAAAATGATGGCATCAACCCACTATAAAATTTGATCTCTTGCCAAACAACTCATCAAGCCACTTAAAATTAAGTTGAAACTCTAATTGATGTAAACACATTTAATAATAAAAAAAATTAAATAAAAAGCATTTATGGTTTTAGATAAATCTTAATTTAAAGTTGACCGGATTTTTCCATGTCCACCTGATATATATACTAAAATATATTTTTGAACTCAGAATTCATGTTGTATTTTGTATATATTTGCATATATAAACATCATTATGATCAACATGGTCATCATAATTATTATTACCATCATCATCATGATCATCATTATAATCATCATCATCATCATCATCATTATCATCAGGCTTTAACCTTCCTCTTTTATGTTGTTTCTCTAATCATGGTTAATGCTCAAACGAGCTATCATCTCTATTACGATAAACCAAAACTCATTATTGTTTGGCTTTTTATTCAACAAGTTGCATCCTTTTACTGTATCCTTCATACTTTAAAAACTTTTAATAATTCAGTTTTTTTCCTTGCACATCAAAAAAACCTTATAACTCTTACGAATCTTTATGTTTTCTTTTTATATACAACCTACAACTTTTTAAGTCTTCAATTTTCTAGCACTTTAACCCATCCTCTATTTTAAAGTAACTCATAATTTAATAGTGGTTACTTGCAACCTTGTTGGAAGTAATTTAGAGTTTAAAAATAAATAAATATATTACCAGTATTTAATAAGTAGTAAATGTATAGAATTATAATATATAAGTATTATAAACTTTTTCTATCTTCGGCTATCCTCACTAAATCTTATAATTTTGCCAGGGCTGGGTCTGCAAAAATTCTCATTTTTAGCCTGGGCTGGGGCCCCGGTCACTTTCTATCCTCAACTAGCTTCACTTTTCACTGCTGAATCATTTTATAAGTAAAAATTAGTTATGCTTTCTAACTAAATGTGTTAATCTTTATTTGGTTCATTTGTTGTTTCAATTTTTGTATTTGTTCAACTTACATGACTGTTATTTATGATTTTGATTTTTTAAATTTATGAATTTGATGATTGTCACATTTATGGTAAGGAATTCTTCATTATGTTAGAAACTGCAATTTCATTATTATTTTAACTAGATAGTCTGCAATATTGACGATATGATAATTTTCAAATATTGTAGACAGTTGACATGTTTTTGATGATTGTACTAATGCTAAAATATTTCTAACGAAATATCTTTTATGATAAATTTTGTGAATTTATTATTAACAGATTTTCAATTACAGCCATACATTGTAACTAGCAATAGCAGTCTTGCTTAATCAATGGGCATTGTCTTTGTTAACATAACGTCAAATATTAGTTATATTTTAAGGACATTTAAATTATATTTGTCTGTTTTTAGAATCATCTATTGTACTCTGCAAATATTTAAATGAAAAGCTATAAAACGTTTGAGGAGGAAAATGTGACATGTTTCTCAGCATTTTTATTTGACATATATATCAAATGAGAATGCTTTGCAAAAATTGCAATCATTTTAGTTTGGAATAAACTTAAAAGATTTTTGCTGCTCTACCCCAATGCAAAAACAATGAATTTATAAAAAATATTTACTTATTGACAGATTTCAAATTACACTTAGTGATTGAAATTTATGAGCATGAAATGTTTGAAATCCAACCAAACCCAAATGGAGAGTCGTGTATTTTACATTTTTACAAAGTTTGAACACTAATGATTGAAATTTAAAAATTGTTCATGAATTTAAATTTTGCTAAGCATGTTTCAAAAAAAAAATAAAAAACTCGTTGGCCTTACCTTAAGGGTTTTATGGGGTTTTAATTCAATTTTTATTTTTAATATTTTTATATTAATATTTAAAAGTTTTTTATACTTAGTTTTCTAAATTTTTTTTTATCTTTTTGCGGATATGATATTATATTCAATGAATGTGGTATGATATTTTTAAATCTTTTACAGCTAAACATCAGAAGAGGACGAAGAGCGCAAAAATGGTAAAAAAAGATCAACAAAAAAAAACTACAGTTGAACAAACTAATGACGATATCGAAAGTGGTTATGGAAATGATGGCAGTGAAGATGACTTAGACGACATCTTTCAAACAATCAGTGATAAACTTTAATAATCGAGAAGATGAAATAATATCTTCGTTTAGTAATATATAGTAAATATAAAATAGTAAATTAGGCAAAATAAATATATAATTTTATATAACCTAAGTTTATTATTAATGTTTTCTAATATATACTTTTCGCTGATGTATAAAATTATTATTTGAATGCTTTGAACAACCTACACTTGGTCAGATGTTATTACTTTTTGGCTAATAAAATACAAATTTTAGTGCAAATTGTAAATTAGATTATATTGAAATTACAGACGTTTTTACAAGCACATAACACGTTCACACTATTGTATTATATATTAATAAAGGCGCTTTGGGAATACTAATGATTAATTTAAAGTCGTTTTTTTATTTTTAACCTTTAATATTTGCATTTTAAAGTAAAACTTTTAATAAAAGTACTTAAAGCGTTTATTTTCGAATTTATTTTAAAAATTAAATACTGTTTTAATTGAAATATTAAAATAGTCTTTTAAATTGATAAACTGTTATTACTTCTTTTCTTGCAAAAATATGTATTAAAATAATTTTAATTTTTTTTTGATGGTTACTTGTTTGTAAAAAGCGAGCTTTAGTATAGTTTTGATGCGTATGGGCTAAAGGACCATACGCAAGCCAATCAAATGTCTTTATATTGTATAACTTTATTAACTACTCTATAAACTAGTTTTAAAGAATCCTTTGCAAATAAAAATTAAAGTAAACAGTAAAGTATTTTTAAATATTTTTCTTTACCAAAACAAAATGGCCAGCATTTTTATGTCGTTATATAAAATTACAATTCATAAATGCATAAAAATTATTAATTAAACAGCTTATAAAAGTAAACTGTAATACGTTACAGTTGAAAATTTGAAATATGGCCTCTTTTTTAATATAAAACAAATTGTCAATAAGTTTTTTAGGTCTGGTAGTTCTCAGCAAATTTTGAAGTAATCCTGGATACTATTAGGTTATTACAATCTAGTTAAAAATAATGCAAAAAGGAGCAAAATATACATTTTTAAAAACTTTTATTAAGATTGATCTCTTGATCAAGTTATCATTCTTAAAGTAAAGCGTTTTTTTTTTGTACTGTTGCAAATGTTTATTTTTAAAATGCTAAAAGTAGCAGAAATAAAGATAAAATCTAATGGATCATGTTTCGCAGTTTTTCCAAAGGACTAAATTTAATAGCGAATTTCGATAATACCGTTTGCTGTTTTATTTTCTATCCTTTAACACTGATATGGAACTACTTACAATTACCTCGCGTACCTCAATCAAAAGTTACACGCTTACGTTATATCAGTGTGTTGGTTATAGTAAGCACAATGTCTATGTTCATGATATCAACAAAAAGCTATAAGTACTTAACTGATTCGTTTTGTTTCAAGATAGGTTACCATAACTGCGAATATTTACATGGAGTTGGGCCGGTTTACCGAATGCTATTTACTGTATTTCTATTTTTCTCGATCATGGCAGTATTACTAATTGGTGTTGAAAACTCTTTATGCACCCGAGCAACAATACATAATCAGTTGTGGATTTTTAAATCAATTATTTTGTTTGGTTGCACGATTGCTTCGATATTTTTACCACGATCGATTTACACTGGTGAAGTTTGGCATTTTTTTGGTTTAAACGGGGGCTTTGCGGTAATTATCGTGCAGTTTCTTTTTTTGATTGACGCTGTTCATATTTTTAATTCGAAAGTAATTTCTTTAATGGAATATAAAGAATATTCCAATTCTTCGAAACTGTGTTTTTTAATGCTATGGATACCAACATCTATTTTTTATATAGGTTCGTTATTTGGTACGGTGATGTTTTATAAAAGATATAGTTCAAAAACTGACTGTATCTCTAATTTATTTTTTGTCAGTTTTCATGTTTACATGTGCGTTGCCGCCACGTTTATATCTATTCACCCAGTCATTCAAGAAGTGAGGCCTAAGTCAGGATTATTGCAATCTTCCATTGCATCAGCGTATAGCACTTATATACTTATGACAGCTCTATCTAATCAGCCTGATGGTATTTGCAATCCAAGTCGAAACTATTTGTATCCGATTGATTCACTTAAAAACGAGCAAATTATTATAAGTTTAGTTCTGAACCTCTTTATAATAATCATATTTAGCTTAAGATCAGTAAAGTCTCCGCAATATGGCAAAACAAATAATTCTCCTCTAAATAAGCAAAATATAACTGAAAAACAATCAAATCAAACTAACAGTGACGACAACTCTCCAAATAAAGAATCAGAAAATAACGAGTTACCAAAAAAATTGAAAATAGTTTATGACGATGAGTATAATGGAGTAGAGTACAGCTATTCGTTTTTTCACACCGTTATTGGTATAAGTGCGTTATATACAATGATGGTATTAACAAATTGGTACAGACCTGAAGAAGAAGAAAACTTAAGTGTAAAACTTATTGCTGGCTGGGGGGCGGTTTGGATGAAAATTTGCAGTGGAATATTTTGCGTGTTTCTTTACATATGGTCAATGGTAGCACCGCTATTGTTTCCAAATTCATATAAAGAATTAGTTTTTTATGAATTATTTTTCACCGTATACTCTTGATTAAAAATAAGTAGTTCCTATAAACTTTTATATTTAGTTATCATGTGTTGGAAATAAAACCTTATCGAAAATAAACTTTAAGACGTTATAAGATATATAGTCATCCTCTCCTCAAAGTATATATATATATATATATATATATATATATATATATATATATATATATATATATATATATATATATATATATATATATATATATAACCATTTGGTTTTCTATATTTAAGTTTAAAAAATATTAATTATTAACACAGGTATGCAAATGGGTGGTACGCCATAGGCACTGTTTTAGGGATACTTTTTTGCAAACCGAGTTTGTTTTGAGCTACGTTTTCTGAAATAGGCAATAGTTTTTAAAACTTAAATCTGGTTATGGAAAACTTATAAAAATTTATTGTCCCTAATAACGAGACCAAATGACAAATTTATAAATTTTACTTTTTTATTTAAAATTTTTTTATTTTAAAGTTGAAAACTCATGTGGGTAATGTACTATTTAAATTAAAAAAAACCCACTGAAAAAATATTATCAATCCATGACTGATCGTTTTGAAAGGTTAAACAATCAGTTTGTCTTCTTTCCATTACTTAGCCTATATACAGTTTGCAAACAGTATAAACTAGGTTTCCAAAAGATAAAGTACATATGCGTATACATATCCAATAAACTTCATAATATATATTTAAATATACAAAAGATATTTTGAATTAAAAAAGATTCCGAACATTTTATAGATTTAAGTTCATCTACTCATATTTTTTTTTTAAACAAAATTAAAACAGACAAACAAAAAGAAACAAGAAGAATATATATAAGAAATATAGTTAAACAGGTACTACTAGAGCTATGTTTTCACAAAAAAATTATATCATTTTGTATCGTTGGGCCTGCAAGGGGTCAATTTTTTTTTTTGATAACAAAGCATTTTTTTTGTTTTTGAAGTTGCCAAGTTTTAATATATGCTATTCAATGTGTTTATCGTTAAGCAACATAATTTTGTAAACTATAATATATAAGATCTTTACTTCATTAAACCAAACTATTGAAAAAACAATTTGGTACTAAAAATAAAACGGTTGTTTTCTATTAGCAGATATGGGGTTACTTGAATAAGCGTTTGTTGGGGGCCCTAAAACTGTAGAATAGTATTTTATTGTATCATAAACAATCCTAAAAATTATTTAATTTCATATTTACAGTCAATTTTTAAGATATTTATGTAAATATAATTATAGGAGATTCAATTTCGATTTCTGAAATGTAATTTAGATGATTGGATGCATTATTTGGGTTAAAATTGTTGAATTGTTTTTCTTCCAAGCAAAAATTTTCCTTTTCTTTACCTTTAATACTTTTTAATATACTTTTTTAATGATGCTCATAGGTTGTTGGCTTTTTTAATTATACTCATTTGTACCAAGTTACCCAACCCATTTACCTTGATGCAAATTTCTGATTTGTCTATTAAAATTAAAAATATTGCAATGATTTGGGCCTGGGGAAAAAAAAGCTCTGAAGTTTTTCCTCTCCCTCTACGTAAAAATATTTTTTCTACTATTCTCAATCAGACTTATATTTATTGGTAAATTTTAAATTTTAAAGTGTAATATTGAGTATTTAATGAGTGTAATATTGAGTACTTGATGACCTTAATGACCGATATGAAAATGATGAATGTGTTTGAAATAAATGTCTATCTGCATTTAATTTTCATGTATCGTTACAATTACAATACCTCTCCTATAAGCTTTAATAACAATAACTATAATTATAGAGCAAATATGTTAAACACATAAAAACTGCCTCGGATAATAAATAAATATTCAGAATATAGCATTTCATATCGAGGTCCTAAAGTATGAAATACCTTTCAAAAAGGATTCAAAGGTACGGTAAACTCGTTAAGTTCATTCAAGTTTATAACAAAAAAAGAAATTTTTAAAGTTTAAGAAACTTTTTTGGTTAATGTTACCACTCTACTTTTTGTTGTTCTTCTTGTTGTTGTTTAACAATCTTATTAGCGAATTACGCATTTTATTACGATATTTATTACGATATTTAATTGAAATTTTATTACGCATATATTTTACGAAATGTTTTATGAAATTTTATTACGTATTACGTTATACGATGTTTTATTGAAATTTTGTTAAAGGGGCTCTATGAAAAGATTGCGATGACGTACATTCATCCTCATCTTCTTTGAGCCCCTATCTGTTTTTACTTACTTTTTTTTTTTTTTTTATGAAGCACGTTGTAAAATTCTTATGTTATAAAACAGAAAAAAAAAAAAAAAATGACCATATATAATTTAAAAAAGATATGACCATATATAATTTAAAATCCCCTTAAAATTAAGAGGGTTACAAATTTTTATGGTTATAATTTTTGAATTAAGATTATAGTTTTTGGCTCCAATCATTACAATTTTTTGCAATGCATCCTTATTTAACATAAATATGAACATACAATTGTTTGGAGTTTGTTCAATGTCTAGAAGTTAGTTATCTCAAAAACCAAAAAACGCTGGATCCGCCTTTGATTTTATTTTAAATAGTCTTACTAACTTAGCCTGTTATATTTTGATATTGATAAATTTAATTTTGATATTGATAAATTTAATTTTGAAATTGATAAATTTAATTTTGTAGATATAAATTTAATCTATAAATTAAATTTATACCTACTAAATCGTATCTGGAGACTTAGGAATAAATATAAAAACAGAAAATATTAACACTATATATATATATATGTATATATATATATATATATATATATATATATATATATATATATATATATATATATATATATATATATATATATATATATATATATATATATATATATATATATATATATATATATAACAAGACCAACTGTTTTACTTTGCTTTCCACTCATACAGTAACGGGATACGGAAAGGAAAAATAATCACGTGAGCGTGCATAGTTTTCATTCGGACAAATTAAAATTTATACTCTACATGCAAACGTGATTATTTTTCTTTTCCCTTTCCCGTTCCCGTAAAAAAACAGATGAGTGAAAACTCGCCTTTAGTCGTATGTATGTATTTAGATTTAGATATGCTTACCATAGGCGTAAAGGGATTATTTATGAATTTATTCATTTTTAATTGTATATCTATTTATATTAATTATTTTAAATAAATAATGATTATTTAAATACATATTTATTAGACAAACAAAATTTTAAAATTTAAACTTTGATTTTAAAAATTTAAATTTTACACTTTTAATAAAACTCGTAATTAAAATTTTGATTTTAAAAGTTTAAATTTTAAACTTTTAATTAACTCGTTATTAAAATCTCTGATTCATGATAATTCTCCAGTGTATTTTTAAATAGCAACCGAAGGATTACTTGTTCCTTGGAGGTTCCAGTTAAGGGGATTTTACTATATTTACAAAAATTATTGTAAAAGTTAGAAACCACGTGACGTCATAGAAAATCACGTAAGGAATCGTCCATAAATTACGCAACGCAAAATATTTTTAAAAAGCAGAAGTAGGTAGGGGTGAGCAAAACAGGATATCCGATCCAGTTTTTTGAAAACGGATTTGGATTTAACCGAACCGGATCCGATATCCGGTTTTTCTTACCCCTAGATAAAGTTGGAAGTTTTAACTAGGGGTAATTTTAATTAGTCTATTCCGGATATCCTATTATGCTCATCCTTATTTGGAAGTTTTAACTACAGATTTTAAAACCAGATATTGGATCCGGTTCGGTTAAATTGGAATCTGATTTCAAAAAACAGGATCGGATATCCGGTTTTCTCACCCCTAGAAGTAGGAGATAATAAGATTTTTTACACATCGATTTTCATTAAACTTAATGGGCTATTTAACTTTTTTTTTTAAATTAAGACTTCGCGAGGAAAAACTTTTGATCTTTTTTGTTTTGTTTATTGCGAAAGTTTGCGTTACGTAATTTAATTAATAGACAAAAGAAAAAGTGTTAAAAGTTTTCCCTCGCAGAGTCTTTAATAAAACCATGTATAACTCTCAAAGTCCAGCAAAAACCGCCGCTCAAAAAAGCAAAATGTTCTCCTACTTATATTTTTAAAATAAGCTTTGTATTGCGTAATTTATGGACGATCCCTAATGGAAAACGCAGTTATACGTGTGACGTCATAAAGCATCTCTTTTTTAGTTATGGTTGCTACGGTGAAAAAGCCTACTAAAACTAAAAAAAGTTTCAACCTCATACAAAAAGTTTCAATGTAATTTAAAAACGTCCGCTCGACTTTTTGATTCTGATTTAAAAAAACTCTAGATTAATTTTGAATATAAACAAATTTAAATATATATATATATATATATATATATATATATATATATATATATATATATATATATATATATATATATATATATATATATATATATATATATATATATATATATATATATATATATATACATATACACACATATATATCCATAGTAGCAACACAGTTTTCTAAAATATTTATCTAACCACTGGATTGTTATTTACAAATTTATTAGAATACGAATTTTAAATAGAAGTCGTTATATAAAGATTATTTCTTAAAAAATGTTTTTGTTGTTTAAAATTCCACAGATTTTTAATGATAGAATGAGTTGTTAATGCGATTTTTTTTTAACGATTTGTCTTGCAGAAGTTAAAAAAGTTATTATGTCTTAAAGAGTTATTAAACCGTATTAAAATTGACGAAGTTGATCTAGTTTATAAATTTTAAATTTTGTGGTTCATCAAAAGAAATAATAAAAATAATAATAATAAACAAAAATAACAACAAAAAATGTCTTTTAACGTAACAAAATTTTGTTACGCAGCTGGGCAGTACGATCATCTTAGTGCAGTATATAGATACACGCTAATTATTTTGTTTACTATTATGGGAGTCATTATTTTATTTGGAAATGTATTTACTTTTTTGTTGATGATGAGTGAAAAAAGCTTGCGCAGAAAACGTAACTCGTTTCTTGCATCTTTAATTTTATCAGATATTTTAT